GGAGGTACCATGGGGAAGGACAAGCACCATGCCACATTACTATGGGGAGCCACAGGAGAGCAAGAGTGGACTGCTGGTCTCACTACTGGTAAGATTTTATCTAGCATGTATATGTAGATTGCAATTGTTTTACAAATTCATTTATTTCAAAAGTTTTACTGGTGCAGTTTACTCTTGCAATAACTCGACCTGGTGTCTTTGGTGATGTGAGGTTGGGATATTAAGGTTTATAATGTGCTGGCTGGGGTTTGTTGCATCATGTGAGCATGAAGGAGTAACATTTGGTGGAAGTTTTTATCTTTTGGCCATGTACAAGGTTCTGCAACATCTTCAACATTGCAACAGAGTATGAAGGGATAGAAGTTCTGACATGTTATATTTAGTTGGTTCCTGGTGGATCAAAAAGTCACAAAGGTTTTTGTTTGCCATTGTAAAGGCTTGTAACACAGGAGAACTTTATGGTTTTGTTGCCATGGTGTGCAATATTTAGCTGTAGGATTATCTTGGGAGCGAGGGTCATTAGAATACTCAAAGTCTCATAGAAACAGTTAACTAGTGAAAGTGCAGTGAGTAATTATGAAAATATAATATGTCAATGAAAGTGCAGTGAGAAAAAATATGAAAATGTAATTTGTGAATCACATTCCTCAAAATGTCACATTCATCTTTTAAGGATATTCGAGGCAATCAGAACATTATCAAAATAAGGTCAGGTTCAGTCAATAGCAAGAGTGAATTCAGTGAAGGGTTGTCTGGCTGTAAGTACCTGATAATATTGATTATTAAAAGTGTGAGATCATCACATTATTTGGGTTGAGAAAAAAATCAATGCTACAGTGATGTAAATAGATATAACAATGTATAATTTGACAAAATGTGATATAAGACACAAGAAGTAATCAGATAGTGACAGAAGATAATTTAGTAAATGTATAAAAACAAATAAATGGTATGGTATTCAAAAATTGGTCATTCAAAAGACATTTTTAGCAAAATTCTAAAGATATATTATAACCCATAATTTGACTATCATATTGAGGATAAGTTAGAGGCAAGGGGATTGGAAGTATTTATGGTCTGGGGGCTGTGGGGCTGGTCTGCAAACATGTAGATTCATTTGTGTGTTTTGTTGTTGTGAAGGTTGATTGACACTGAGAATTGTTTGAGTGGCGAGTCATGTACACTGTTTCTTGAATGTAAAAAGAGGTAACTCAAATGTAACATGTGGAAAAGGGCATTGTTGATCTGGCAGTAATGAGGTAAATACACTTTTCAAGGTGGTGATGCTATTTTGGCAGTGTTGTGTATAGAGATGATATTGATTACATTTTGTGGGTTATTGAGATTGGCAAAGACTTTGTGAGGCATTTGGGTCATTTGAAAGTGGCATAGAGGCAGGAGCATTGTGTTGGTAACTTCTTTAGGATATTGGTAGCAGTGGTAAGGGAGGACTACGTGATTTAGGGACTGGTGGGAGCAGTCCAACCCTCATCTCACCACTTCCTGTGTGGGTAGGAAGTTCCATGGTTGATTGGTTGTAATAGGGAGAGGATCCTGTGAGGAGACAGAGCATTCCATTCTGTTTGCAGTTCTGGGCAGATAAAGGCCATCGGGAGAGAGCCTTCCCTGCTGCCTGAACAGAGCAGAGCGGAGTTGCAAGTAGCTCAGGGAACAGGGACCAGGTTATTTTGTAATGGTGCACCAGCTCTGTAAGATTGGTAGTGACACTGTGAGTCAGGGGCCACACTATCATAAAGGGTCTCACTGAAACTAATTGGTCTGTAGATGGACCTTACTACCAAAAGTAGGGGCCCCCAAGACTAGCTGGCATGGCAATGGCTAAATTGGCTTTGAGAAGCTGTGGGCAAGCTGTGAGCTGTAGCAATGCAACTTCAACTCCTTTCCTTGTCAAATGGTGGACACATGCTTGTAACATCTGTTGCTGTAGTTTCTGCTACTTAGGCCCTGGAATGAAGAGAACCTAGTGGAAAGAGAGAGCTGAGGAAACCCCCACATCCTAAAGGGCATATGAGGAGAGGAAACCAGGGATAGAATAGCAAATGTATCACACACGGAACCACTTAGGGATGAAAAACAGGAGAACCTAATTACAGAGAGTGGGAGAGGAGGAAAAAAAAAATGTACAGATGGTCATACAACTCTAGTTCCCTGGTGCAGCAGCAACTCGGTAGAAAAATAAAAGTCATGTAAGAAAATCATGTGAGACAACATTAAAGGCTTTATTGTGTCAAATTTTCTACCCCAAATTCCAGATGACAAATAGCTCCACTCCCAGTGCATGTATACATACATATATATATATATATATATATATATATATATATATATATATATATATATATATATATATATATATATATATATATATATATATATATATATATACTAAAATACTTGTAATGGAAAAACTAGCTCAAACAAGTTATTATTTCTAACTGTAAATGTGGTCAGTAAGTCATGTGCTCTGACAGATAGAGAATGATATATCCATGCTATTATAACTGGGCAACACACATTACTAGCTTTTACACATCACAATTCATTGTAATTGTAAAATTTTTTGTGACCTAGTAAGAGGAAGTTACAAAGGAGAGGAGCTAATTAGAAGAGATATAAGGAGAAATACATTTGTGGGTGCTTGGGCAGGGAAAGTACAATAAGGGAACAGTTACTTGGATATCAGAAAACATTGCTCTTGATACACAGGGGCATCTAATATGAAAGCAGAGGAATCTGCAGTAAAAGTTGAGAAGAGACACTCCCTAAGCCTTAAAACGAAGGAGTATCATCAGATTATTCAGCAGAATTCTTCTACTCCTGCCAGTAACAGAAAGGAGTGTGAAAAACACCTACCCACAGATGTGATACATTACCTTTAGGAAGGACAGGGGAAACTAGAAGCAAAAGAAAATTTAAGTATGTTTTTAAAAGGTAAATTATACCAAAGTAAATCATAAAATAATGGACTCAGAAGCAAATAGTACTCAGAAGCAAAATGCTATCACATTTTCTCTCAAAATATGATTTGCAAAGATTTGTGTAGTTTTGGATGATTTCATTTCAACTAGATTAACTTGGAGCTGAATTAAACAAAAAGAACAGTGATTTCTTTACAGAATTGTGTTGTTTTATTTCATACTTATGAATGCTGCTTATTTATGAACTCCACAAAAAGTAATTGAAAAAATTGTAATGCAAATGATTATGTATATAACAAAATGTAACTATGATCACTATCATGAAAGTGAAGACATGAATAATAATTGTTGAGTAATGCTTTAAAAATTTTAGGGTTAAAAGCAGGGCCGTGGGGCAGGGAGGAGTTTTTGTTTATGCTGCCATAACGTCATGACATGATTATCATGTTGTTCAGCTCATTTTTAATGCCCATTTAGTGCCTCCCTTTATTAGCCAGAGGTCCACTTAAACCACTCAGGAAGGTAGCTCCTGGTGCCGCATGTTATGGTGAGCGTTGAGTCAGCTGCCTGAGAAAAAAATCAGAAGGGCAGAAAATGTAAACTTACCTGGTCTCTATGATCTTGGCTGTGTTGGTGATGAGGCTGAAGTGAGGCTTTAAGCTAACTTTTGAGGGGCAAGTTTCTCTTTGACTGCCTCAGCCAGGGCCAGACATGCTCACCAACTGTATAGCGTAGACAACTTAGAGCAGGCATAAATGTGCTAGACAAGATGACATCCTCCTGGCATGAGGATTGGTGTCATACGATGCCATCCAGGTGTGAGTGGATTAAGTTTGGAGATCATCCAAAATAAGTCTGATGTCCAGTGCACTGCCAGGCCGGGCATTGGGATACTCTGGCTCACTGCCTCTGGGGCTCATCATGTGCACATTAAGTTTTTTTTTCTTTCTTTCTTTTTTTTAATCTATATCATATTTTGATCTTTTTTCTCCAGCTACAAGGACTGATTATTTATTCCAATGCTTTTTCAATGTCTGCTTCTGCTTCTTCCTCTGCTGCTCTGCTTCTGTCTTAGGTTCTCCTTGCTGTTCTTGCTTGTCTTCTCCGTCTTTCTCTTTTCCTTTTTTCTTCTTTTCTTATATCTGCTTTATTACAGTTTGTGTTTCTTTTATTTCTTGTTTTTTCTTTTTTCTTACGTTTTGTTTTCTAGGTTCCTTTTCTTCTTGTTGATATTACTATTATCATCATTATCATTATCATTGAAATTCTTACTATTCTTGATATTATTAAAATGATTAAGATTCTTATTGTTGTTGTTATTTTTATTTTATAATTTTTATTATTATTATTATTATTATTATTATTATTATTATTATTATTATTATTATTATCATTATTATTATCTTTATTATTATCATTATCATTATCATTATTATTATTATGATTATTAATATTATTATTATTATTGTTATTATTATTATTATTATCATCCTCTTTCTCCTCTTGCTCCTCCATCTCTACCTCCTACTTTTTCTTCTTCCAAAAATTAAATATCTGAATTCAGACTTTAGTGACAATTTTTTTTTTTGGTCTGCAATGTTCAAGTATTATTTTCAATAAACTAAAGAGTTGGTTATTTTGAAGAAAACTGAAGGAGACTGGATGGCAAAGGGAGTCTTGTATAATTGATATGACTGATAAAAGAAATGAGTCTCATGGAGATTTTATATTTTATATGTGATTTTATTTATTTCATTCATTTTAAACTTTTTGTATGTATATTTTTGTTAATAGCCTTTTCTATTTTGCTGAAGGTATTTCTTCAAATCAAGTATTTTTACTTTTCATGCAAGCGCCAGAGCAGAGGGACGTTGTGAAGACGAACATAGGTTAGGATAACTGCATTATTGATTAGCACAGGCACAATGGGGATGCACTCTGATTAAGCAGGAAAATTATTGTTTATAATAGGGAATCATAGAATTATGAATATTGGAATATGAATATGAAAATTATGGAATCGTGAGTGAGTTGCAGAACTATTGTGGTCCACACTGTTGAAGGCATGTTGTGTTCACTCCAATTAACTGTGTGTAGTTGCTTAGGGTGATAATGCCATGCCAGCCACGGCTTGTGTTTATATTTTGCACAGCATTCTAGATGGCAGCGACTGACATTTCTCTACAGAATAGTAACCTATACTAATGAAGACCTACCATCTTTTAGAAGAAAAAATGTATGAACATAAGGACATTTTTATGTTTGTCAAATGCAAAGATGTTGTGTTAGAAAGTGAATAACTGAAATACGTAAGTTTGAGAATTATTTTGATACACCTAAATTTCTAGTAATAAGCTTATTTTATACATGTCATGCAAGAGCATAGCAAATATATTCACAACTTGATTCTTATTGTTGAAGGCAGAGTGCACTGCTGTTTTACAAGATGATATTAACTTCAATTTCCTGTTATTCAAGGTGTTGACTGGAAGAGTTTGTGTCTGCCAGCATGCCTCCCCGTCACAACAGATTATTTCCCAGAGGACCGTTCTTTGCACAATGACTATGTGGTGGCAGATTACAACCTCCTCCCAGAAGACATGAATGAGCATGCAAGAGGGCGTAAGACTTTAGATACAACACAGGTGTTTTTGGAACTTGTATCACAAAGGCTTGCTCAGGTATGTCTGTTACTGATTTATTATTTGCAAGCGTTTTCTGGTGTGCCTTGTATGGGCGATAGTACATGGATATATTCATGGATATATGGATATACTTCTTACTGGTAATTCTTCCTCACTTCATTTTTGGTCTCATGTACAATTCCTGTTCATGTCCTTTATGCATGAAAGACAAGTGCACAGAAGTAATCGCTAGCACAAGATTTTCATTGAAGATAGAGGGAAGGGCCTTACATGTAAATAAGTTCATTTGGAAAAGCTAGAAGACTCACAAAACTGAAATACCTGGAAAAAATTTTAGTTGTTGGTATCAGGGTGTTCATCAGACTTCCTTTATCAGTTGGATATTAGGCAACAATCAAATTTTCAGCTTTGATGGTAGAAATAGAGCTCAGTATTAGAGGGCATTTGCTATCACATGTGAATGATTTCTGAAATGGGATACTTCAGATACATTTTCTGAGAAACTTGTTTGGTACTTTTGGTGGTATTTCCATTTGCAGGGTCAGTACTGTTTGATTGTCTGGGAAGTAGTAATAATAATGATAATGATAATAATGAAAAAAACAAAAAAGACTGCATTTCAGTATCTCTCATCCCCCTGAATACAACTCATGTTACTTATGTTACAATTACTGCAAAAAACATATTCACTTTCACCTCAATTCAAAGAATAATGAGATCATGCTGTAAATGAAAAATTTGTTTTTGAAGATTTTGTCATTACTGATTTGGAATTTAGATGTAAGTGTTAGATGTAGTTTAGAATTCTATTTCAGTTGTAGGTTTGAGAAACCCTGATATATTTATAGATTTGTAGGTATCCATCATTCACAAGCATATCCTTAACTCTTAAATGACGGTATTAGAAATCTCTTGGCATCACTGTCTCCGGTGATTTCTGGCAACCGGCCTGCCTTTTGGAGCTATAGTCCACTACATGTAATGGAACTTTCTGCTCGATGCACTCTAGCGCGTTATCTTGTGTATAAGCAGTTTGTTGCCAGGCAGTATCGGGTTAATGTGGTACATCATTCTTTCCAGGGATTCCAGATGATTGTTAGACCTGTGAAGAGCCACACTCAAGCAGCAGTAGCTATAGGAAATAGTCCTCGCTATGCTGGAGTTGGGTCTCTTATGAGGACAAGGTCACGCACAGAGGAAACTTCACAAGAATATAGGCTGTCTATTGGACGCATGTTCCACAAAATAAGACTTTGTGGGTCAACAATAACAGTTACAATATATCGCCCAAGGTATAGTATTTAAGACATAAACCTATTTTTGCTTTCTTTTTACAAGCTTTGTAAGTAACATCTTCTTGGGAGAAGTCTTATTCTCTGCATCTCATTAGAGATAATACTTATCGTTTCAGACATCCCTATCCACAACTAAAACGTCAATACAAGTACAGATTCCAGGCTCCTGATATGAGCAGCTATGAAGTATCATGGGTGGAGTTTCGCACAGAGAGGCTAGAAACTTACATGTGGAACCACCTAGACAATTACATTTGCTTCCGTGGAGAGTCACCTGATTATCCTTTAATAGAAGTAAGTGAAATAAAAATTTGATATTAGATTTTTTTTTTTTTTTTTTTTTTTTTTTTTTTTTTTTTTTTTTTTTTTTTTTTTTTTTTCTTCCTGGATGTAAAGAGTCAGTCTCTATTATTATTAGCTGAAATTAATTCAGGATAAAGAAGATTATTGGTAACAAAGGGAAAGAATATTCCCTTTGTATAGACTACTCCTTTGTTTAGATTTTCTCTGATTATAATCAATATTTTTTTACAATTATTACAGATAATACAAGCCAGTAGAGTCATAATACAACATGGAAAATGTTCCCAACAAAATTTGCTCCATTATTAGTTTTTCATTAACGAAATTTCTTTACAGCCTCTCAAATTTTGGCGTTTTCGAGTGTTGTTGGTTCCAGATTGCTACAGGTTGTCAACAAAGACAATCATGGATTCTCCAACAGGGACTCATTCAGATATTTACAATGCTTTAACTCTTAAAGAACAGCAGGTAAATCTCTCTAATGTACTTCACTATTTTTAAGAATTGTTCATTATATCACAGAAGGTTTTTATGTAGCTAACTGGCTCATACTCCTTTGGTATTTCATATCCAATGCATCCAAACATTTCTGCTCGTACAAAACTGTTGGCACAACTACACCATTATACAGACTTCTCTTTGTGTCTATGTCCAGTGCACTGTACTTTCACACTCTTTTCATTCCCCCCCAAAACATACTCTCCTGCCCTTTGTCTTACCTCTTCATTTAGACTCCCATTTCATGACAGATGAAATCAAGGAGACATTATGCATCTCTGCTGGAGGCTTAGTCAATCACTCTTCTTACCATGTTCTCATTCTGTAATCTCCTTCCTACTATCTTACCATGAACAATAATGTATAAGCACTGTTTCCACAATTTTCCAATCATTTGCTTTCACACAAGTATGCCTTTGGATATCTTTCTCTTGTTTCTTATCTATTAGGTGATCAGTTAAAAAAGGTAAAAAAAGACTCCTTAGGTAAAAAAAGACTCCTTAGGTAAAAAAAGACTCCTTAGGTAAAAAAAGACTCCTTAGGTAAAAAAAGACTCCTTAGGTAAAAAAAGACTCCTTAGGTAAAAAAAGACTCCTTAGGTAAAAAAAGACTCCTTAGGTAAAAAAAGACTCCTTAGGTAAAAAAAGACTCCTTAGGTAAAAAAAGACTCCTTAGGTAAAAAAAGACTCCTTAGCAACTTCACCTCTGCTAATAGGCATGATTTATTAATATTTAAGTGATGTGTTTTATGAAAATTTACCCCTCCCCCAACACCTACAGTGATGTCCAAGACAAGTATATCATATGTTAGTGTGAGAGAATATTGATACAATTCTGTTGTTAATTCTGCCCTATTTCCTAGGCCACTGTCATGTCATATTATGGATAGTGAAATAGTTTTCTGTCAAAGTACTCGTCACTCACTGTTCTTTGATTATTTGATATATATCAAGGATAGGTGCACTGTAAATATTATTAGGTAAAAAGACTCCTTAGCAACTTCACCTCTGCTAATAGGCATAATTTATTAATATTTAAGTGATGTGTTTTATGAAAATTTACCCCTCCCCCAACACCTACAGTGATGTCCAAGACAAGTATATCATATGTTAGTGTGAGAGAATATTGATACAATTCTGTTGTTAATTCTGCCCTATTTTCTAGGCCACTGTCATGTCATATTATGGATAGTGAAATAGTTTTCTGTCAAAGTAGTCGTCACTCACTGTTCTTTGATTATTTGATATATATCAAGGATAGGTGCACTGTAAATATTAATTATGATAAAAAAGGTTAAGCCTAGGTTCCATTACTCAACTTCTGGCCACCCAGCCTCACATATGGTTACATCACAGTCACTCTCCATAGGACTAGACAAGTTTATTGTTGGCTCCTAACTGTTTTAGATTATCTTATAACACCATGATGATGATAAGATGATCACAGTCTGTAGATGTTGTAGATTTGGATCTTGTGGTTCCCAGATAGTTTACTTAGGCTTCACAAAACAGTGATAACCCATGACTTGATTTAAATTCCATAGTCAGATTGAGTCCAGTAGCACCATGGCATTTTATACTTGTGTGAGAACATCTTGAATCATAAATGTGTCCAGAGCATTAACTCTTACATATGGGAATAGACCTAAAAGAGTATTGTATTTTTAAGGGTACTTATTGTAATCTGTCTCTCTGATATTTTCTTTCTGTTTTACAATAGGCAACCATTGAAGGATTCCTGAGATTTCTAGAAATAACTGTGCATCGACTGAAGAAACCAGTTAGTGCTCGTAAAAGCAGGGTAAGTACTTGGATGAAATGTTTTTTTGTTTTCCAAATCAGAGATGGAGGCTTTTGGTTATCAAATCTGTGGTATTTAAAGTTTTTGCTTTTTCCTTTTGCTTTTGACCTTGACTCCATGAATGAAAATATCATAATGTAATGCATATTAAGATAACAAAAGAAATGTTTTTGGAAGAAAATGTTTTTGACCAATTATGTACAGGTAGGTTATAACCTCAGTGATGTGTATGAAGAATTCCTGCAGTAGATTTTATTTTTTACTTCTTTTAAAGTTCATGTTTGCAGTAGAAAGTTATTGCTTTCTGAGGAGAAGCTAATAGTCCAATGATAATTTTTGTATTCTGTGAATGGTATTGTAATATTTTGATGCACTAGACTACAAGTAAAACTTTATTGTAGTTGTATTTATGAAAACTATCTAATGTCTGTAATTCTTTTATTCTTCAGAAAATGCTAATTAGTCAAGAGGTTGGTGCATTTGCACATCCAGCCTAGCAGGGATTTAAACTGATATATAT